CCAGTGGCCATAATCCTCTTTCGTAGGCCGTAGGTGGTAACAGGGGGGTTTTGTTTTTGCACGCACTTCCAGCCTGACTTATTGTAAAAGCAAAGAAAAAAAATTATTACTAAAAATGTCTTGGAACTTATTAGAACAGTAGACAACACATGATGTGCTCTTAATCACTCAAATTAATGGGAGGGTCTATCAATTAACAACTTACTCCAAACAATTTCAGATATAAAAAATAAATAACAAATTTTGGTTCTAAATTAACTTAGATATATTTTACATACTGAAAGAGAAAAACTAAATTGGTAGAAATAACAAATTACAAAAATTTAGCATAAATGGCCACAACAGTTACCTACAAAGAACCTTTTGACAACAGGAAGTGCTGAAAGATCTCAAAAAGTGACAAACTGTGCTCTGATCTGTGTAGAACAAAAATACTACCTCTATTGTGGTCATGGCCAGCTTTACCCCACAGTTAAAAAACAGGCATATTTGGTTAGTCGGTCTGTCAAAATCTATGTCTAAGTATGAGTGTTTGTGCATGATTGTTTGTCCTATGTCTCTGATTACTGGCGATCTGTCAAAGATAATGTTCTCCTTCTCGGATGACTACAGAAAATAGGTATACCAGAAAAAAAAGATGCACATACAAACTCAAAATTAAGGGCAGTTCAGAGAGATTTAAGCCCAGTCCCATTTCCCTCACTTGGCTCTGAGAACAATCCAGTTAGTTCCCTCCACAGTTAAGTGAAGTGAAGATTTTCTCCCTAAAAAAATGGGAAACCACTTAACCTACTTTGTATCAATGTATTTGAACCAGGATAGAATGGCATCAAAAAATCCGGAATTTAATCCTGAATTAAAAATAACATACAATAGCATATTATTACATACAATAGTAAAAAAAAATACCATAGAGTAGACCAGAGGTCACGGATTACGGGACCATACTCCGGATCCAGACTCACCTGCTGGCTAATCTGGACCTGACCATATTTAAAACATTTATAAATTACCACATGTTTTCTGACGG